GCAGCACTAGCCCTTCCAATGTCCATGTCCATGAAAGACACGTACTCAAATACTAACTCCTTCAAAAACTTCAAGTCTTCTGCTGAGGAAGTAGCAGGACGATCAGATGGAGCAGGGCTAGACGTCTGGACTTGTCCCCAGGAAGTGAACAAGTCTTGGATAGAACGCACAATCCTGTCAACATCCTGCAAAGAAGATTGCCAACATTGGAAATATTTGTTACAACGAATAAATTGGAATAGGAATGGAGCAAAAAGAAAAACTACCTCGTCGACAATCGTAGAAGATGGTGCACCCTCAGTCAAACTGGCCACCAACGACTCACCCATTCGTGAGGACTTCCCCTTGTCCGAGTGAGAAGACGTTGCCACAACGGGCGGACTCATGGGAGTATCTGCAAAGTTCAAAGAGCAACCAGTCAGAAACCAATAGCACGAGCAAAGGTAAGACATCAAAACTGAATTACCTTCTGCTTCGATAATTGGGGGGTCAATGCCCTGGGAAGAAGGTGGCTCATTCATAGGTTGTGGTGAAGAATCTGGAACTGAAGATGTATCTTTAAGCATGATCCCATCATCAACCAGTTTGGGTGAAGCAGCCTCAACAGAGGATGATGGGGCAGGATTTGGTAATGCCAAGGCCTTTGAAGGGGAAGCTGAGTTTTTCTGAAAAGTCCAAAGGATCATCAATACACAGAAAGTTTTCAAATGGGGAAGAGCATACTTATAAATAGACCAATTTAATTACCTTCCTTTTAACGATAAGAGGGACATCATCATCATCGTCATCAACATCATCCTCCAGAATGGGAGATGCTGAAGCTGGCCGTTTGCGGCTTGGAGCACTCTTGGCCATAGTTGGCCTGGCAGGGAGAGAAGAGGATGGACGAGCAGATTGCTTAGTACGACGAGAAGGAGAGGGGTTCCGAATAGACAAAGGAGTGACCAAAACAGGAGGAGGAGAAGAAATACTCGGTAGAATCGAAGTCAGTCTGGAGCGGGAGAAACTTCTACAGCAAATTCAGACTAAACTCGATCACTTGGCCAAGCAGAATCCAGAGCTTATGATCGTAAAGTCTGACCCCATTTATTATTGAAAAGAAATAGGCTACATAATAAAATGAATAAACGAGTAGATATATGTATTTTCTTGAAAAGAATGACTAGATATCTAGAAGAATCAGGTACAAAACGATAGCACATCCATGGTAAAAACCTATCGTGTTGGAGTTTCCATTCAATTCTGATCCAACATTTCTGATGCCTGTGGCAAGCAGTGAACCAACGAGGTGTGCGCAACTTCATCTAACTTTAGTCCTCTATGGGATATGTGATCCCACAAGTTAAAAGCTTCTTCTACTTTCCCTTCCTTGCAAAACCCGTTTGTCAATGTATTATATGTAACTGAATCTGGATCCATTCCTTTGCCAATCATTTCGCTCAGAAGCTTATTTCGTATGATCCAACTTGAATAGCCATCAATAACAACTGCGTATGTTATCTTATTTGGTTGTACATTGCATGACAACCTTTCCTGAAAGAGACTCTTTATTTCATCTATCTGACCTAGCTTATAGAAATCACGTATAAGTGCAGTATAACAGAAAACATCAGGTTGCAAACCTTCATTTTTCATTTCATCCATAAGATGTTTTGACCCATCAACAGGTTCCACGTATTAGAAAAGAATAGGTGGGACACGAAGATGAAATGCCTTTGCTTCTCATTTCATCACGAAGTTTAAGGGCTTCTATCCTGTTTCCTTTCATAGAGTACGCCTTAATAAGTATATTATATACAACAAAATTTGGTTCAATGTTATGTCTGAGCAACATCTTGAAGAAACTGGTAGCCTCCAAATCTTCCTTAGCATTGTAGAAACCATCTATCATGAATGTTGGAAATAAGATCATTTCTTTGGCATTCATGCCAAAGTGCAACAGCTTCATCCAGTTTATGTTTACTACACAGCCCATGCATCAGCAAAGTGTACGTAATAATATCAGGAGAAATTCCTTGCTTAACCATATCTTCCTTGAGATTAAAGCCTCTCCAATTTATCCTCTTTGCAGCATCCATAAATGAGTGCATTATATGTAACGATCCAATCCCACACCGCTATTTAACATATTTTTTAGTAGCATTTTAGTTTTTTGTATGTTGCCTACCTCCAGAGTCCACATATAAGTGCATTTGAGGTCACTGTATTGGCTGCAATCCCTAAATCTAGTAGCATATATCATAGCTCCAAAACTTCTGAATGCTTACTATTCTTGCAACACCTATGGATTAATGTTGTTAGCAACCTATCATTTGGCCTCAAAATCCCAGTTACCATTAACCTAGTGAAATGCAATGCGGAGTCTAATCTTGAATACTTACACAAACCATGAATAACAAAACCAAATGTACCTGGGTTTATACATTAGACTTTCGATACCAATTCATGCTAGATCAATTTGATTATCCATATAGAGACCATTAAGAAGTGTATTAAAAGCAATGTTTTAAAAATCGGACGGCCAGTTCAACCTAAAAAATTGGGAACCGGTCCGGTTTGATTTTAAAACCCTGTAGCTTAAAAACCGCATAGGATCCTGTCGGGCCGACTGGGTTATATGAAAACCGCCACGCTCTACCGATTTATAAGGAACCCGTGCAATTTAAACCCATATTTTTCAATTTCCACTTTCATTTCAATTTAAGCAGGCTTCCAATTTCTCTCTTCTTCCGTGGGCCGCATCCATGGATTGAATAGATTCCAAGTTTCTCTCCTCTACAGGTTTTCAATTTCTATCCTGTTCAAGATTTAAAGTTTCCAAGCAAGTTTATAGCTTCTAATTAAACACCGTGATTTTGATTGTATTCTTTTTTTCCCATAAAGATATTGTTGACACATAAAAATTCAGCCCAAGTCGAACAGCTCAAGGAGTAAAGCCCAATTGGAGAATCCCCAAAACAGACAGCCCAAAGAATGAAGTTCAATCAAACGAGTCAAGGTGAAGGCCCAAACAAGAGGCCCAAGAATGCGGTAATGCCATCGCCCAAGTTTGCAAGTCGCTCAGAATCTGAACGAACGAGTGTCATACGGTCGCCCAGAGCTGTTGTTCTACTCTCGCCCAAACCTTCAAGTCGCCCAAGGTGTCAATAAACATAACGCATCGTGATTATCAAGGAATGCAGTTATCAAGGAGGTTGTTAAAGTAGCCTTATCACGTTCCACAACTCAAGGAAGTCAATCGAAAGCAGTTGGACGATGAAAGATAATGGCAGCAGTTAAAAGGCGGTTTCATGACAAAATGGCCACTACAAAGAAAGTGGGTAGTTATAGGACGATCAAGCAGTTTTCAGAGTAGTTAATCACAAAGAGATCGTCTATGAGGTATAAAAGGGAGAAAAGGCGTAGAAGCAAAAGACCGAATCCAAAACTCTCGAACAAGAGAATATGTAATTTTCATTTCTTTAGCTTTTAGACTTAAATACTTTCCTTTCTGTAACTCGTGTGCTTGCGCCCCTTGGAGGCACGTTGTTTTTCGTTTCCAATTGTAAAGTTGATCGCTAATAAAAGAACACCCCTTTTTGGGACTTTGTCTCAAGAGGTTTCGTCCCTTACACAATCGTCTGATCCCCTTTAATTGTTAGCGAGTTAACCCGCGCGAAACAACTATACTATTTTCTGCCATATAATCCCTAAATTCTCACAAGAGATATGCGTCATTTCGATCTCAGTAAAATACTCTTTGAATTTCTCAAACTTACCCAACTTTCGAGCTCTTAGGTAAATGTATTCGAATTTAGAGCTATCATCTGTATAGAAATACTAGTGACCCCATCTTACAAGCGTACTCGCGTAAGAATTGCAAACTAGTAATAGTTCATCCTCAAACATATCAAGGAAACCATCCCTTGCTAGTCTATTGTATCATGTTAAGGTTAATATGTTTAAATCTAAGATGCTATAGCTATAAAATCAGTAATATAGTACGACTTTTGTTTATGATTTTCAGAATTAATATTTATTTTCTTTGTCAATTAGTTCATCAAATGTGTGATCAAATCTGAACTTTCTTAATTAAAATTCAAAGCATATGCCGATTATAAAATAATCGTCCTATTAAACCTAAAATACGAATAACTTTTCGCCTCATTAGCGGACACAATAATCTTGTCCTATTAAGATGAAATAAACATGTACGACTAATAAATAAAAACAAAATACTCCTACGCTCTTGCCAAAACTACTGTTCATGTGCCAAAGATGATTTTCAACAAAATAAAAAATATCGAAATCCATGTACCTACAATTGTTTTAACAAAACAAATATGGGTTTGTTTAATTTGTTGATAGTGTCTATGTGACATTTTGATGATTTGTTTTACTATTTCTTTTACAACCATACTATCATAAAGTTTGACACATTGGTTGACACAATACACTCACATCGGAGGTCGGCATTATTTCATTCGCGCGGGACCCACACGTGGCTGTGAGAGTGGTGTCATCCTTTGGGTCAAACATTATGTTCATTTGGCATTTTCCTTTCTTTTACTTGAGGAAATGCGGAGTTTGATAAGTATTGGGAGTGGTTATGTTTGTACAAATTTCTGTCACAATGTAAGAAAAATAAAGTTTATCTAATAGCAGAGACAACCAGACAAATTGTAACATCATAATAGCTGAAGCAACAAAAAGCACAAGTAATTTCCATAGTAGCAAGGCCTTGGGAAATTTTTAAGTGCCAAAACAGCATTTTTCAATGAAATGAGAAATTGAAATCCTGAACTGCTATAAAATTTCTTGAAAGAGGACAGCAGCCCTCACGATACGCCATAACTTTTATTGGACATGAAAAGTAGAATTTACAGCTAAGTTGTTTAGCTGACTCTTCTTGAAATTGCTATTGTGCATTAGTACAAGTTTCAAGCCCTTCACACCTTCTCCAGATTTTGACAGTTTCTTCGAAGGTCCAGGATAATATTTATCCTTAAGAACAACATCGTCTACACAAGTCCAAGTAGCTCCTCTCGGAGAGCTGTCCTTGTACAAAAACCTGTCGGAGAATGGATTCACTAGACTTTTGCGGAATTCCTCTGCTGTTTCACAAATTACACCCTGTAACAGACAATAATATAAATCCAACAGTTTAGATCCAAACGAATAAAAGCAATGGAGTCAGGGGAGAGAACTATTGTGGATTGTGTCTTATCTTACTTCTGACATGGCTTTGATCTTGAGAGTAACATCATCACTAAGAAGGACAAGTCGTCCATCGTTCCTAATTCGTTTGAAGAAAAGAGCACATTCAAGGATATGATCTTCTGTGGTAGGTGTAACAATCTCCTGTATACTACATGGAGAAAACGGAGATGTGCCAATAGAGAATACACCCTTCTTCTCCTCACAAAACCAAGATAAAGGAGAAGAAGGTGGGGTTGGTGCCACTGGTCTTTGTTCTTCAGCCGAGCTCTGCACATGAATCCACCTTTCTGCATTCTTCATACACTCTTCAATCCATTGCAGTGCTGCAGAAACCTCTGTTGTCCGTCGAAAGAAAGTTCCTCGTCTCAACATGCAATCCAGTTCCCTTATGACTAATATTATAAAGGAATAATCAAACTTCATAAAAACGTAAAGCGATATTATCTGACAGTATTATAAAGACGTAAATTACCAATTCTAGGTACTATCAGTCCAGTTCCTTTGAGACCTTGCAAAAGCTGCAACTCCTTCCTTGACTTTTTGTTTAGCAAACACGCAACGTCCACCACCATGGTCCACCTGTTGTTGTCCTCCTTAATGGTCTTTGTTGTGCAAATTCATGTAAAAGAAGTATCAAATCCATAAATATGATCTAAAAGACATAAAGAATAACCAACAAAAAATTCCTGAAGAAAGATAAAAACAAATATCTTTCTTCCTAACGACACTTTTCTGCACATAAAGAACTTACGTACATTCTAAAAACATTTTTCCGCGCATGAACATCAAAGTCCAACAACAATGTTACATAACTGCAATTATTAAATACAACAAACACTGGAAATGTGTGATAAGATATGATTCCTTGAAGTAAACAAAGAGAAAATAAGAATTCTATGGAACTTACCTCAAAAGGATAAATGATCTCTTCAACTCGAACAGAGTTGATAGAAATGCCACTTCTCGTATTGGTATCAAGGTCTGAACCTTTTGACTTAGTCTTACTGTTACTCGTGGTGTTCACAAGCAGAGATTGCAAAGGCTTTCTATCTGCTGTAGCATTCAATAAAGCCAACTTCTTCTCCAACCCTGCATAACTTTTGGATGCGGAATTCACTAATTTCTGTTTTTGAAGAACCATCAGACTCTGATTTTCTTTATCCAAAGAAGGCGGCATTTTGTTCTCTTGGTACGTGTTACAGTTGACAACTGTCTTCAATGGTGATGATCGGTATGACTTCGGATAATCAACTTCTTTCAACTTCCCCGCCTTCTTTGTGTACCTCAGTCGAAGTGTATTCGGAGTCATATTCTCTTTGTCTGGACAGAAATTTTCTTCTTCATCTTCGTCAGCACAAGAAAATAGAGTCTGTGAAGCTATGTCACTCCTTGAATTCTCTTGGTACATGTTGCAGTCGACAACTTTCTTCAGCGGCGATGATCTGCATGACTTTGGATTCTCAGCTTCTTTCAAATTCCCCATCTTCTTCATGTACTTCATTCGAAGAGTATTTGGAGTCATATTCTCTTGGTCTGGAGTAAGAACTTCTTCTTCATCCTCATCAACACTAGAAAACAGAGTCTGTATAGTTAAGTCACTTCTCGGATTCTCCTGACCTTTGTTCTCTGAGGACTGAAGTACAAGAGAATTGGAAGAATAATTCTCCTTGTCTGGAGTAAAGATTTGTCTTTTATCTCTGTCACTTCTCGCAAAAGGATCGTCAGAAACTGATCCCCAAATAGGTGATTTAACTTCAGAATTGTCTGGAGTGAAAATTTCTTCTTCATTTTGATCTAAATGAGCAAACAGAGTCCTGGAGTTCTCCTGATTCATGTTCTCCAAGGACTGAAGGATAAGAGAATTGGAAGAGAGATGCTCTTTGTCTGGAGTATGTTTTTCATCACTATCACCCCTAACAAAAGCATCTCCGAATGCTATTTCAGTTTGTGAATATTCACAAAATGGTGATTTTACTTCAACATTGTCCGGAGTGAAAACCACTGCTCCTTCATTCCGAGATACACAAGAAGAAGTGCTCGAAATGAATTCACTCCTCGAGTTCTCCTGTCCTATGTTCTCAAGGGACTGAAATAGAGGGGAATTGGGACTAAAGATCTGTTTTCTATCAAAGTCGCCATTAGCAAAAGGATCTTCAGAAACTGATTTAGTTCGGGCATATTCACAAATTGGTGATCGAACTTTGGAATTGTCTGGAGTGAAAATTTCTTCTTCGTCTTGGTCTACACAAGAAAATAGGGCCCTTGAAACAAATTCACTCCTCGAATTCTCCTGACCTTTGTTCTCCAAGAACCGAAGGAGAGGAGACTTGAGAGAGCAATTCTCCTTGTCTGGAGTAAATAATTGTTTTTTATCAATGTCTCTACTAGCAAAAAGATCTTGAGAATTTGATTCAGTTTGGGAATATTCAAGGATTGGCACTTCAACTTCGGCATTACTAGTAATCCTTGCACTCTTTCCTCTACTCCTGCTTATTTGAATCTGCACACTGGCCGGTTTACCCCTTCTTGACCAAATGTTTGACGCAGATGTCTTCTCCAATTTCACTTCAGATGTATGAGACACTTCCGAGACAAAAGGCATATCTAGTGTGCTGTTTTTTTCATGGTCCATTTCAAGTGAGCTCTTGTTCTCGGCTTCCTCTTTGTCATAGAATGTATCATTCATGTCTTCAGGCATGGGAGGTGCTGATGGACTCATCTTTTGCACAGATGAAATTGGGTTTTCATTCGAAAATAGGAGCTGTAAACCTTCCAAAATATCAACCGAACTCTGAATTTGATCGTCTTCTCCATACAAACTGTTCTCATCCTAGAACACGAAGTTGTAGAAAATAAAAAAGAAATTCAAATGTATGATCATAACGCTATCAGTATAATAATATTCTTGCAGGTTGATTTCTTGAAATTCACCTGATATATTCCTCTGTGTGTTTCATTTACTTCATCTAATGTATCCAATGGAAGGACAAATGGGTTGTCTAAATCATAAGCACGTGCAACTGGAAGCCAATGTAACCTGTACAACCTACGAGATCCCCCGAGCTGCATTGTGTCACCTTCTTTCAACTCTACCATTACCCCGGGTTCAATTTTCTTTCCAGAAATCCAAGTCCCATGTACTGGAATATAAAACCCCATGAATCAGTAAATCCAAGAAAACCTCATCCAATTCAGTCTCCAGTCACACATTACAATCACATAAATTACATAAACATATTCATTGCCGAGTTGATAAAAAAGCAACTGTGCATCCAACTCAAAGATTGAGACTCAAAATTATTAAGTATTTTCAGCAAGAACTGATACCCAAGAAATAAGAAACATACAACCACAGAGGGAAAGTAATTGTCAGATGATAAAAATACATAAACAACTAGACTATTTACAAAATCATAATCAAGAACAATCAAGATTCAAGAGTTTATCACCTTACCATATAGAAAATGTCACCAAACATCATCATATGCACATCAATATGATTTACATTTTCTGCACATCAACACACACACGATCCAATGCCAAGAACCAAACCCCTAATCAAAATTCAAAACGGGTTGGAGAGGATTATACCAGAATACAAGTCGATGACAGAGAGGGAGTACAAGGAACGGATGGAGTGAATACGAAGGTGGAATCTGCTGATACTGGGATGTTCCAAAGTGATATTACAATCGGGATGCCGTCCAACCAACAATGTTTCTTCCTTTATTGATTCTTTCCCATTCTTGGAATTGAATTCCACTGAAGAAGAAGGGATTGAAGGTCGCTTGTTCAGGATATAGATATTCTTCAGAATAGCATCGTTCTTTAGCACTGTGAATACTGGGATTTTCCTCTCCTCTGACTTCATCTCTGATATGGGACGATTCAGTAGTTCTCCTTGACTGTCTGCCATTGCCAGAGAAGGAGGGGTTCTTCCGTTCTTGTTTCAAGTGAATAGGGAAGTGACTTTGGGGGAATTTGAATGAATCTTGAAAATGGTGACCGTTTACATATAGGACTGTTTTCTTGACATGTTTTGTCATGTGAAACGGCTATTTTTAATTCAAATCCAGAAGGTAATAAAAAGTATTTCTTTGATTTGAATTTTTCTTCTTTTGATTTTTCTCAATAATTCCAAGATATTGTATAAAAGCGGGAAAATATCATTTCTAAGTCAAGTCGAACCATATAACACAGAAAGCTCCCTCCAGAGCAAAGCAAGCTTAATGATCGAGAATTCAATAGTCGATTCCGTATTCATTAATCCAAAAGGTCATGATGCAAACATATCTCTACAACTATTTACAACTGATTGAACTCAATAAATATAGAAGAAACTGAACCGGGTCCAAAGTGACAGTGGGTAGTGCAACAAAGCTACAACTACTGTGTGCTCCGGGAGGGGATAATGAATGCTAGGGTGAGACCCCTAGCTCCGTTCCTTAGAACTCGCCACAACTTGTTAACGAAATTTGAGGCTTGGCATGAATCAATGGGCCAACAACTTTGCCCCCGTTTGGCACCCATTTTTTTTAAAGTACATTTTTCTCTCTCTTCTTTTCAACCACACATTCTTTATTAAAATAATATTACACATAAATAAAAAACTTTTTCTTATTTTTCAACTACACACTTCTCATCAAATTACTATTCTAAAATGCATTTTTACATAAAAATGTCTCTCAAACACCCCCTTTATCTATAAATGTTCAAAAATAATCAAACTTCTAACCATTTTAAATGGACTCGCCAAAAATTACCAACCTTCGATAAATTTAACATCTCGCATTGAATTCATATATATTAATTTAAAATGCCATCACCATAATCACTAACACTCAAAATAATAAAATGGCGAAGACAATCGAATTTTGAGCCAAAAATGGTAATTTTTTTCATTTCCTTACATAAGCATATGGTTCATCGAAATGGTAGATAGTATGTCCAAATTAACTCATGATGAAACTAATGTTATACCAAGAACTGATCCTTCGTCTCATTTCATACCAAATTTCTCCTGAAATAAGACAGCAGAGTAGGAGAAACAAAAAGCACAAGCTTCCGGTGAACTTTAACACTTGAACCGAGGTATCTTGATATAGGAACAGATCAGTTCAATCCTCTTTGCTACGAGCTAGTCTTGTTCGATGTCTGAGTTCAGCCCTTTTCCATCTAACAATCAAATGACAAAGTGAAAATAAGGTGTTCACCTGCCAATAGAAAGTGAAGCATAAATTGCTCAGGTGAGAAGGCGAGAAACCATCAAAAGAAGAAAAAGTGCACATTTGGTACAGAATATTTCAGCTATTAAAACAATCTTAACGCCTTTTTCTTCATTAATACTGTTCAGTAATATTCCATCTTCTAAATTGAACATGCCATTTTATAGGTTATTGAACACGGACCAGGATTATGATTGCAATCACCAACAATGGCCCCGACCAGAGTGTGGAGAGAAAAAGTCCACGTGAGTCAAAATAATTCTGGCCTGCGAAGTTTTTCCAGTTTCCAGCCAAGAAACTATTAAGCCTCTCAGCAAGATAAACTCCTGCCACTGCATGATGATGCTACTGCATAAGTAACTGCATTCGGAAATGTATCTATATAGGCCTATTTGATCCACATTATTTGGAAAAAATACATTCTTGAACAGTAATTTGACATCATTTCAACTCCATATTGTTCAATAAAATATTATTACACGCAAATCTAAAACTTTTTCTTATCTTTTAACAACACATTTCCCATCATTACTACTCAAAAATGCATTTTTATAAAAATAATGTGGCTCAAAACAAGGGCATAAACTGCAATTCAGGTTGCATATGCAAGATAACTATATACATGTATTCCTTCTCATACAGGTTCTAATAGCTCATTAAGTATAAAATGTCTGAAAGGGGTATTATCCTACCTTGCTCATGTATAAGGTGTGATTAAAGCATCTTCGATAAGAGTTTCTTTCAAAATATACTTATTTCTTTAAAATTAACTTTTTACTTATTTCTTAGCCAAACATGCTCGCACCCAGAGTAGGCAATTTGGCAGGATATACCTTCATGTTTTGCTTCCATCCAGAGGTGTTAATTGATATGAAGAACAATATCTTATCATTTTTTTTTCTCCAGCGTGCAGGGTGGGAACAAGGCGAATAACAGTATCTTTTTCCTGTTTCCAGTGATGATGAGTGTACTACACCCTCTTCTACTTTTACTGAAATTTCGAGTGCTAATTTTCACTTTCAAGTGAAGACATGAGGCAGCGAAATATGGGTCATTAAAGGGATGCATGATAGAGTACCAGACACGATTTGGCAGTACAATAAACAAAATTTTGATTAATTTTTCTTTTGTAATATTGTCCTATGTTATCCAGTCCACCTTACCAAAAGTACCTCAAGTGTATTGTTTTCTCAAAATGGCAGCAACAGTGATTTAGTACTGCCTCCGCAAAAGCAGCTATCATCTTCTCCAACACCGTATTTTTTAAAATTCGTTGGTATGCTGAAGCTTGAGCCTGTTTCCAATTGAAACTGCAGCATTGTCTCTTCAGTCTAATTACTGGCTCCCTTGCAGCAGGGTCTGAGGTTTCTCTATAGAGTACTAGAATTTGGGAAAACTGTATCCAAGTTTTGTAGCAATACAGATCACACTGAATCCTTAAAAAGACATCAAATCTTAATGAACTGAGTGCATGTTCGGCTGAGCTTAAGAAATTTTCTTAATAATAAGTTTTAAAATAAATAATTTTCTTTTATCAAAGTTGGAAATAAGTTATATCTTTCGAAAATAACTCTACATCATTGTCAAAATTAGTAATTTATTTATTTTTCACTCATAAAAGAAAAGGTAATATATCCCAACATGTTCAGAAACAAAAATATATTTACAAGTAACTTAATGTTACTTATAAGCATAGCAAAACATGTTGTGTATGCATACTTTTTAGCACAACTTCATCAACAGGCAAGCATGAGGAAAAAGAGTTACAGCAAGATAAACATACATGCGAGAAGGAACAAGCACATCTGGAAGTTGATGTTCTTCCTTGAAACAAGAGTTAGTAGCAGCAAAGCCACATGGAAGGAGAGAAGACATATCAACCAAGGTTCCTGCAGTCAAGAAGTTTAAAGATCAGAAAGACTAGCAAAATTAAAGATAAAGTATCACCCTGAACAGATATAACACCGGATGAATGATAGAACAAAAACGCTAAATTATGGTCTTCCAAATGTGGCTATAAGTCAAATCAATATCAGTTTTCACTTTATTCGATTTCAGCAGCCTCCATTTATGTCATCCTATCTCGTAGCAAGGAAGTGAACAGGAACGGAAAAAGAGAGGTGGAGAGGAAGATAGAGCAAGGAAGGGAAAATTAATATTATACATAAAACAGAAGAAAACTGAAGTGGTAGAAAATAATGGAAGAGATTCCTGTGAATGGGTTCTAGAAAGAGAGTTCCAGCAATCATCAGCTCTATTATTACAGCAGGGAATTCTTTTTCCAACAGAATAGACCCAATTCATACCTTGTCTAATAAACAATTGAACTTAACAAAAATCCCACTGCATTTCGGCTATCTTTTGTTATATTTTTCAAAATTAGTTGATGATTAATATGATTAAAAAGGTATAAAATCATTTTTTTCCAGCATTACAAATAAAACATTTACATTCTATTTGGAAATGCTTAAAAGAAAGCTTTTAAGCAATCTGTCCTTAAATGTCCTCTTTATATAATATAAGAACAAGGAGAATAGTTTAGAAATTAAATGAGCGTGTAAGCAATTTGGAAAAGAAGGAATAGTAACAATAATTTTTCTGTAACTGCTTATGAGCACTTTTAAGTACTCATTGTTTGAGCAGATAACCAATGCCTTTAAGTGCATATAACTTGATTCAATGAATTACGAGCTCCAATCCAAAACAACCTCTTAATCATAATCACTTTTGGGACGATCTTTTCTAACTTCTCCAAGAAACTAGAAAATGGTTTTAAGAGGCATGAACCAAACATGATCACGAAACCATTAAAACATTAATTAATTTTTTTCCAATATTCACTTAATCAATAATCATGTTCAGGAACATTCTAAAACTAAACTAAAGGACTCCCCCATCTTTAAGTTCAAGCACTGTTTTTCTTATATGTTCTAAAGAGAACTCCTAGAGCCAATAGCATTCGTTGACTGCCTAAAACGAAAACAACAGCAAAGGTTTCTATGTTTACCTTCGTCCAATTTTTTTCGGGGACAAGAATTAGGAATGTTATAGATATTAACATCTAAAGGATCCTAATGTCCATTCTTTCAGTGTAAACAATGTAATATCCTTTCAAGGGACTTGTAAAAGTCTCATCACGATACTATGATGGCATGCAAAGAACATAATTCCAGATACCAACTAATGTTCTCTGCTGGATCTTTTCATCTCGACACAAGTTTCATTCTAGATCTGCATTTGACTGAAAAAATTTCCCCGGACCACTATCTGTCCTGCCAACAAGAGCTCCTCTGCTACTGAATATACAAATATAGTTGATTAACACAGCAAATCCTTTCTTCCCTCTTTCCGAAGGAGGAGGGCCTTGTTTCCCATGGCCGAGAATGCAAAGACAACTACACAAGATTTCTTGGATGGAAAGTTATTTCATAGCAGTTGCAACTGGGGCAATTTCTTGGATGGAAAGCATAGCTAACATGCTTCCACATTCAACCATAAGATTTATCTCCATAGCTTTTGTCAGTATGTGATAACTTGCATGTAATTATGTTTCTTTTCGTTCCAGAATTCAAAAAAATGGCCAAGTGCATTCAGGCTTGTTTCAAGGGAGGCCTCATACTTCGTCCAGGTTGGATTTTCTTGCTACACTCTTAGTTACCATTATTACACACCATTTTCTTACCTTCATTTTCGCTCTCAAATAGACAATTCACTCCAACAGACTGGAAATTTAGATTGTAAAGCTCGAGTGATGAACTTCAGACCATCAATTAATTTTCAAATAGGTCAAAAATTAATTGTAGTACTGTGCCACATACTAACTAAATATATAGAGACAGCACTTTCAACAACTATCTGAATAACATATATTCGTGAATACTATTAAACAATAATTCCATAACATTTTGTTCCCCTTTTATTTTTACAACTGTTACTTTAGTAAGATGCTTCTATTTCAAAGAACCGACTTCAAAACAGGTCTAACAGTCAGCCTTAAGTTTAAAAGAAATATAATAATAACATGAAACCACAAAAAATAAAAATAAAAACAAAAAACAAAAAATAAAAAAGAGAACCGGATTTATGAACAAAATATGATCTAATGTAACATTTTCTAAGATTGGTTGTTTATAATTCCAATTGTCAATTATTTCAAGAAATAACACAATTTACTCCAAAGTCAAACCCTACAAAGTAAAAAGGAGCAAAACTAACATACTACGTACACAATGATGCACTATACATCTTATAAGGAATCTGCTCAAGTTTGAAGATATTCCAATCCAGTTATCAAATGGGTTCTCAGTTATTCAATTTTATTCATGAACAAACATTTAATCAAAACCCATAAAATGGTAAATACATAAAAGAAGGGGGAAAAATCAATACACAATCAAAACACGTGAGCATATATACACATGATTTTATATATTTATAATATGGTTCCTTTCCAGTCCAAGTATCAAATGGGCTCTCAATATATTCAATTCTTTCGACAGACAATCACACACGTGCCCATATATACGTAGGAGATTATAGATGCATATATGAATCCATAAATGTCTGTTTATATGTATAATACCTTCCAATCAATGGCATGGAAGAAGCCCATGAAGTTTTCATAAGCAGGATTGAGTCCAGAGCGGAGTTCAGCCGTCAACTTTTCCACTAGATCTGACATTTGGTCCATGTGAGCATTCAGAGCAGATTGCAATTCTTCCATTTTTTGTTATTCTCTTGATCTCGATTTAAATCTGGAGACTGGAATGGCGAAATTGTCTACTTTATTCTTTTCTCCCGAGTCCGGAATACTCTAGGAGACGCTTCAAATTAATGGTCGCTATTTGTCATTTGCACCTCTCTTTTTACTCGCAAGTGAAACTTTTTAAGCTTTGCCAAACATTTCCTAAGCTTTAAATCATTTTTAAATATGGACTTTCATTTAAAAAGTATAGTCAAACAAAACATTAGTTTTAAAAGTCCATAAACTAAATTTTTTGGGTAAAAGGCCTAAAGACATGGAAAATAAAAAAATATAATTTGTAAATGACTAAAATGACCTTACATACAAAAAAGACATTACTGTCCTAATTTCCTTTTGACCCTAATTAAATTCTACATTCCTTCCATTTGCTCTTCAAGAATCGACTGTAAAGGGATGCAAATCCTTTTTTTGTTATCATCATTTTTCTCTACTTAATGAAATCATAAACTCTACATTCCCTTTTCCTTGAACACTCATTTGGTTGAAGGGAGTAATAAAATCTTGCAATATTATTGTTAGGCATTTGGAGAAGAAGGGGGTGTTGTAATTTTCAATTTTTGGGTTATTTTCTTTGTCCTTTTTTTGAATAATTTCTTCATATTGTTGTATATATGTTTATAGTTTTTATTTGTGAACAATGATTTTGAATTAATTTTATCATTAGATTAGAGTTTTGATATTGGTTACTTTCAAACCCTTTTCTCATTACTCATCATTTGTATCAGTTAAAATAAAATGTAAGTTTGCAAAGGCATGTTTGACTATTCTTTTTATTGTTCAACCGTAAAATATATATTTAATTTTCGTCTATACATAACGACTTACATGTCGTTTTTTGCAATTCGTAACGAATTACATATCGTTATCAATATTGTACAATGTTTGAAATTTGATGAAATTTTTATATTGAATTACAGCTAAGGACACCGCGAATATGGTATGGATATCAGTTTGTTTTTTAATTGAATATAAGCAGTCGGTTGAATGTGTTTAAAAATGAAAATATGCAGGGAATAACAAAGAAAAAAAACCTCTATTCTTGGTGCGAAAACTATTTCTTATGTGGAATTATATGATAAAGTGAAAGAGGTGTTGAACATCAATTCACAACTGTTTCGAAATTTAATTGGAAAAATCAAATGATTAAAGAATCTATTCACAACTCAAATGGTTACGAGTACAGTCATAAAATATCAGTGAACTGCATGTTTTTATTCCTAAATAAGATGGAACAAATCAATACCTTGAAATAGAAACCAGTACCTTAGCTTCTGTTGGAGCATACTCTTTTATTATTTCATTTATATTCATAATGGATAATTGATTTGGAATTATTTCCTGCAAATTACATAATCATCGTGTGTGTTATCTTGCTCATTTACTTGATTTCAATATAAAAATTCAGAAATTTGGATGTTTACTTTGTGATTTCGTACTACAGCTCTCTTGAGGGACATGCTTACTCAACTTTGCTCTAAGAGAAATTAGACATATCAGGTTAAATATTGTGTCAGCCTTTCCCATCCCCGGCCCAAAGAAAAATGGTGAACGTTGTTTTTTTCCTTTTTCTTTAGGTGCTACTGGTGGATGACTTTTTTAGATAGAAATAATTGGTCCAGCATTTTAAGCAACTTATTCCTTTAGTTTCATCAAGATGTAGGTCGAAAGTGTGTGTATATATGTGTGTACGATAGAAACTATAATGTAATGACTGGCTTATATACTAGACGAACTTCCTGGTTTATTATCATAATTCATAATCCAAGTTCCTAAGTTTGTGACAATGCTGAGATTATAAATGATCAAAATTATTCAATAGATCCATAAAGACTATATTAATCGACCGTTCATTTCTATTTTTATAAATTTCTCCCAGAACATTCTTGATTCTTAAAGTTCTCGAGTAATAATCTTCTGAGATTAAGGTTGTAATATTGTCCTGACTTGTAACTTTATAACTTTGTGCTTACTCGAAGCACAAGATGATTTATTAAATTTTGTAGTCATTGTGCTATTGAAATGCTTTTGTACTATTGAAATGTAAACGACGTTCATATAGTTACTGTTTATGTAAATGCACTCAATCTAATGAGTATATAATTTTCTTCCTTCTAAAACAAAGTGTTTAAGATCGTTGTAGTACAAAAATGTATTGATTTTAATTAAGACATTGAAGTAGTTCTTGAAGCACAAAACGATATAGATGTCGTTTCAATAAAAAAAAGTAGAGTGAATAACATAACGATATTGAAATCATTCTTGTAATAAAAAATGATTTTTATATCGTTCAGTATGAAATACACACTGCTTAACTTATTTTGGTAACGACATAAAAGTCGTTATGACTATACATAAACAATATATAAGTCGTTCTAGTACAAAAATGCACTCATTCTAAGAATGACATTGAAATCGTTCCTGAAACTCAAAACGATATAAATGTCCTTCCAATAAAAAAAGTGCAATGAACAATGTAACGATATTGAAGACATGACGGGTAGTTGTGTACGGCCAAATCTACTTTTAGCCAGAACGATATAATTATCGTTTTATATGAAAAGAAACTGTATCTATGTCGTTATACTTGTAATTTGAATTGAATCGATTTCAAACTATTCAAATTTGTACTAAAACGATATGAATGTCTTTACTTTATTTGTGATTTTGATACATAACGATATCATTATCATTTTAGTACAAGTTTGATGACGTCGATATCGTTTTAGCTTAAATCATAACTAAAACTACATACTTATCGTTTCAGTTAAAATAAAACGATAATTATATCATTTCTACTAAAAATAATGATTCGATCGTCCACGACCACCATACATGTATCTGACGTATGTTGGATGATCAATATATGTAATTAATTGGGTTCGATCTCACTCAAAGGAAATTATGAGAACATTTTTGTTCTCGTGATTGTATACCATTTTCGAACAATTCTGACAAAAAATATCTTCGTTCGCTCTTTTTAAGTCATTCGAACGGTATCAACCTACTTGATGACCTCTTTCGATCGTCTTACGTATGTTGAAAGCATGACAGATGGTTGTGGACGGTCAAATCGCTATTTTTATCCAGAACGATATAATTATCGTTTTATATGAAAAGAAACGATATCTACGTCTTTATACTTGTGATTTGAATTGGAACGATTCCAAACTCGTCAAATTTGTACTAAAACAATATGAATGTCGTTACTTTATTTGTGATCTTGATACATAACAACATCATTATCGTTTCAATACAAATTTGACGACGTTGATATCATTTTTGTTTAAATCATAACTAAAATTATATGCATATCGTTTCAGTTAAAATAAAACGATACTTATATTGTTTCTGCTAAAAATAATGATTCGATAGTTCACGACCACCAGACATGCATCTGACATGTGTCAGATGATCAAAATAGGTAATCAAGTGGGTTCGATCTTCTTCAAAAGAAACTATGAGAACATTTTTGTTCTCATGATTGTATACCATCTTCAAACTATTTTGACAGAAAGTATCTTCGTTTACTCTTTCTAAGTCATTCGAGTGGTATCAACCCACTTTATGATATCTTTCAATCATCCTACGTATGTTGAAGGCATGACGGGTGGTTGTGGACGGTTGAATCATTATTTTTAGTGAGAACGATATAATTATCATTTTATATGAAAAGAAACGATAACTACGTCGTTATACATGTGATTTGAATTGAAACGATTTGAAACTTATCAAATTTGTACTAAAACAATATGAATGTCGTTAATTTATTTATGATTTTGATACATAATGATATAATTATCGTTTCAATACAAGTTTGACGACGTTGATATCGTTTTAGCTTAAATCATAACTGAAATTAAATACATATCGTTTCAGTTAAAATAAAACGATACTTATATCGTTTCTACTAAAAATAACGATTCGACCGTATACGACCATCAGACATGCATCTGACATATGCAGGATGATCAAAATAGGTAATCAAGTGGGTTCGATCTCCCTAAAAAAAAACTATAAGAACATTTTTGTTCTTATGATTGTATACCACTTTTGAGTTATTCCGACAGAAAGTATCTTCGTTTGTTCTTTTTAAATCATTCGAGTGGTATTAACCCACTTTATGATATCTTTCGATCATCCTACGTATATTGAAGGCATGACGAGTGGTTGTGGACGGTCTTTTTTTTAGAGAGAACGATATAATTATCGTTTTATATGAAAAGAAACGATATCTACGTCGTTATACTTGTAATTTGAATTGGAATGATTTCAAATTCATCAAATTTGTACTAAAACGATATAAATGTTGTTACTTTATTTGTGATTTTAATACATAACGATATCATTATCATTTCTATACAAGTTTGACGATGTTGATGTCATTTTAACTTAAATCATAACTAAAACCACATACATATCGTTTCAATTAAAATAAAACGACAATTATATCGTTTATACTAAAAATAACGATTCGACCGTCCACGACCACCAGATATGCATCTGACATATATAGGATGCTCAAAATAGATAATCAAGTGGTTTCAATCTCCCTCAAAAGAAACTATGAGAACATTTTTGTTCTCATAATTGTATACCACCTTCGAACTATTTAGACAGAAAGTATTTTTGTTCGCTCTTTTTAAGTCACTTGAGTGGTATCAATTCACTTAATGACATTTCTCGATCATTCTCGTATGCTGAAGGCAGAACAGGTGGTTGTGAACGCTCGAATCTTTATATTTAGCTAGAACGATATAAATATCGTTTTATATGAGAATAAACGATATCTATGTCGTTATCACTTGATTTGAATTGGGATGATTTCAAACTCATTAAATTTGTACTATAACGATTTGGATGTCGTTGTCTTATTTTGTGGGTGATGTGAACTCGGTAGTAACGAACACTAATGAACCCACAGAAGAATGACACAAATCCCAAGAAAGTAAAAAAAATCAAAGTTTAGGACTCAATTCACAAATTTACGGACCAAACAACAAATATTATATTAAACTATTGACCTTTTGATTACGAAACTTATAAATTTAATCCGGATTTGGATTTAACCCAACCAATTAATGAATCAAACAACCCTAAGATAACAAAGA